CTGTGGTCAGAGCGCACCCGAGAGTTTGGGGAGTAGCTGATCGGCATCGTTTTGTTCCCCACGATTGCCCCCACCTCCAGTACCTACCTTCCGTTCCCACCGATGATTTTGCTGGCAGGGTTGCCGAATTGTCCTGGCTCTGGTGTTTGTCTTCCGTTCCCGCCAGTTCTTTTCGTTCGGTCACGTTTGCGCGAAGCTTTTCTGCGGTGGGGGACGTGAGCGTTCGTGCCGCTGGGGCGTTCACATGCGGCCTCCAACTCGCCGCCCTCGTGCTGTACCCTCCCGCTTCGCCCTGCTTCCTCCCTTCGCTCTCCTCCTCGCCGCCTTTTTCCTCCGTAGTCGTCGTGGCTCAAGCAGCATGATGGCTTTCAATCAGCAGGCTCATCCTGATCCCCATGAATGCTGACCTCCCTAACAAAATCGTCTCATGGAGACATTGTGGACACTGCAGCAGGGACATCCAAGCGAACTCGAGACGACGTTGCACAGGGGGCCAGAACTCTGGCGTTACATTGGTTTCACAGCATGGACCCTAGAGGCCCAGACCCCTCCCCCAGGACGAGTTTTCCATCCCGAGCTGTTTTGTTGACGGTCCCGGGGTCCAGTGAGGGCCCCGCGAGGGCCCCTGGAGGCCGAACATGGCTAAAAGCCCTTCGTCGCGATTTTCTGTCGCGGCGACAGGGGCTGGGGGCTGGTGGGGATCAAGGTCAGTCTGTATTCTCCCCGGGGCGGGACGCCGCCTGCCGCCTAGCTGCTCGGGGGCCGAGCCGCTGTGAGGCCATGCGGCAGATGCGCGCTCCCCCGCTGCGGAGCCCGCCTCCCCCGCCGCCCCGAGAGGCGGCTCCAGAGGAGCTGAGGCGGACACCGATCCCGCCGGCGCCCCGTGTAGTGGCGGCTCCCGCCGTATCCTGGGGACCAACTGGTAATATACACACGAATTTTCGGAGGGCCGCGCGGACTTCTTGGATCGTCGCTGGCCGCGCGCCACGGAGGGGGGGTCCGGCGCCGATCCAGGAAGTCCGCACGGCCCTCCGAGGGTTTGTGGTCTATGCCACGGTCTGTCCTCCGAGCCTCGGCCCGGACGTCGGCCGCGGCGAGGCCGCCCGTTGTGCGGGTGCAGGGTGGGCGCCTGAGGTGCGCGAACAGGGCCTGCCGCTTCCTGGTGCACGAGGATCCCAAGTTTGGCGGGTTCTGCTGCAAGCGCTGCCACTGCTCTTACGCCAGCGGCGCGCCGTTTGCGCAGCACGGCAGGCTCTGCCTGCACGAGGAGGCCCCGCCGGGGACCGAATCGGCTCCGCCGCTGCCTCCACAGGAGCCGCTCAGCTCAGGGGAGCTGTCGGCGTGGGGGAGCCACTCGGGGAGCCAATCGGCTCAGGGGAGCCAGTCTGCTCAGGGGAGCCACGTGCCGTCGGCCCAGGGGGCTGACATTCAGGGAGGCGGGCAGCCCTTGGCGCGCCCACCACCGCCGCCGCCTCCAGTGGTTTCCATGGAGGCCCCACCCCAGCTGCCTCCGGCAGTCCGCGCTGAGGCAGCGAACGACGTTAGGCCGACGCCAGCTGCAGCCTGGGCTGCAGCTCCGGCGCAGGACAGCTCGTGGGAGCCCGTGCAGCAGTGGCCTCGGCACGGCTTCGAGTGGCGCTCCGACGCGCCTGCGCAGTGGTGGCCCCAAGCAGGGCGGCCGGCACCGCAGCAGGCGCCGTCACCATACATGCTCACGCCGCCGCCCCTGCCGCAGCCGCAGGTCGTCGCCCCGCGCGGCAGGCGCCGAGCGCCGGAGCCCGCGCCGCTCGTCGCGGAGAGGTGTCTGCTCCGCCTGCTGCACGCCCCGGCCGAGGGGGCGGGCGGCAAGCCCAAGGCCCTGCTCGACAGCGGGGGCGCGGCGCCTGCGGCAGGCAAGCCGCTGGAGGCCCTGCTCGCAGGCAGCAACGGCGGGGACGCGGCGTCTGCGGCAGGCAAGCCGCTGCAGGCCCTGCTCGCAGGCAGCAACGGCGGGGACGCGACGTTCGCGGCATGTAAGTCGCAGGAGGCCCCTCTCGCAGGCAGCAACGGCGGGGACGTGGCGTCTGCGGCAGGCAAGCCGCTGGAGGAGGCCCCAGTCGAGCCCAAAGCGGGCGATGCAGACGCCCCCTCGGAGGCGGCGGAGGCGTCCTCGCGGTCGCAGCGCGGCGGGTGCGGCCAGAGCCCTGAACAGTCAGCCGAGGCAGGGCCGTCTGCGAAGATGATGCAGGACTTGTTGGGGGCTCTGTGCCCTTCGCTCGGGAAAGGGCAGCCGGCCACGGAGCCCAAGCCCAGGCCCATCGAGGTCACGCCGCCGCGCGCAGCCATCGTGGGCCAACAGGCGCAGCGGATCAACCTGTTCGACCAGCACCAGCTCCCGTGGCAGCAGCCCCGGCAGCCCCCCGCGGCCTCGGAGGAGGCCCAGGCCCTGCCCGCCCCGGCAGCGCCCGCGGTGCAGCGGCTGGCGGCAACCCTTGGGGGCCTGGCGGCCCCCGTGGCCCCAGCTCGGGGAGCAAACCATGACGCGAGCACACACTTTCGGAGGCCCGCGCGGCTGTCCCGGGTCGGCGCCGGGCCCCTCCCTTGGCGCGCCGAGCGCGCCGGGCGCGGCGCCAGAGGCGCCGCCCGGGAGGGGGCCAGGAGCCGACCCGAGAAGTCCGCGCGGACCGCTGCAAGTCAGGCGGGAGAAAAGCACACAGACACAAATGACCGTCGATTCCCAGGGAAGTCGGGAAACTATTGGAACGGGAGGGAAAGAGACGACCCTCCAGAAAAGCTTCAGAACACACGGTGCCTCCTGGGAGTCGTGTGTGCCCGTTTGCCTCTGTGTGCCCTTGGGCCCCCTGAGAGAGCAAGCTTGTGCTTCTTGTTGTGTTTCGCTCCTCCGCCAGCGCCCCCGTGCCAGACGCGCCAGGAGGAGCCTCCGCGCGCCCCGGCGTCCCGGCCGCCCCCGCCGCCGCCCCCCGCGGCCAGGCCCCCGCCCGTGCGGGCGCCCGGCGCGGCGGTGCCGCCGCCGCCGCCGAAGGCGCAGCGCACCGCGGCCGCCCCGGCAGACGCCCCAGCTCGGGGAACAACATGAGGACAGAGGCACGCATGCTTCAGGAGGGGAAGAAGCACACAGACACCATGAATCGTCGACTCCCAGGAAGAGATGGGAACACATAGGAGGGGGGGGGAAGGCAGAAACCCAGAAGATAGGGGAACATGCGGGGATTCCTGCTATTTGTGTGTCTTTGTTTGTGTGTTTGTGGGCCCCTTTAGTTTTTCACTACTTGCAAAACCGCCCCAACCCAACCTGGGAGTCCCGGGCCCTCAGCTTTTAGAGCTCGGGGGGTGTATGGGTTCCATCGTGTTTCCTCAGTGTTGTCGGCCGGCCCCCCCGCCGGAAGTTGACGATCCCACATGTGACTTCGTGTTGGGTTGGGGTGGTTTCGTAGGTCGTCAACTGTCGTTCGGAGAAGAAGACACTGCATAAACATAAACTTTCCGACGCCCCGCGCGAATTTCTTGAGTCTGCGCCCAGGCCTCCCTGGCGGCACCTCCGGCGCCGCCCCTGGCGCGCGGAGCGCGCCAGGGGGGGGCCCAGTGCAGATCCAAGACGCCCGCGCGGACCGTCGGACGTTCATTTTTGTTGCCTGGGGCACGTGTCCTCTGCTTGCCAAGCAGATGCGATTGCACAGGAGACGGGTTTCACCCGATTCTTGCGCACGTTGTTCTCTTTCAGACGTCGTCATCGATGTTACCTTGTTCTGGACGCGCTGCTGCCAGGGATAGCGATGGGGCCGACCTGGCGAAACCGTTCTGAAAGGAGCAAACCATTTTGGAATGGCGCTGGAGACCCCTGGCGGGAGAGGAGGGCCCAGCGCCGATCCAAGAAACACCAGCGCGGAATCCCGACAGTTTTTACGGCAGGCTCGCGCCGTGTCGACACGCCACGACCCCGCCGCGAGCGTTCCAGGTTGAGCGCCGCCAGCGGCCCAGAATCGGTCAGGAGGGAAATTATCCTGTGACGTACCCAACCCATTTGTATCAATGGAAACGAGGAGTTGGCCGAAACTTGCATGGACAATCAACTTGATGTGTAAGCTACTTGGGACACGCGCCTATGGCATGATGCGCAGGATAACCATACAAGAACGAGGGGCGACAGCTACAGGCTCGAAGAGGACATGGGGAGTCGGGAACGCAGAGCAGGAGAAAAACGTGCGGGAAACCGGCAGCACGGCAGCAGCAGAGGGAAGGTGACTGCAGGAGGAGAACAAGGACGAAAGCGGCGTCTACTTTGAGTCTGCGGTGTGTACCCACTGTGCTGGGTCCCTCAGCAGCTCTCGAAAGTGGCGACAGTTTCACAAATCGCAGCCCCCCAGGGATGGCGAGGTCTAATTTGAGTCTGCGGTGTGTACCCACTGTGCTGGGCCCCTCAGCAGCCCTCGAAAGTGGCGACAGTTTCACACATCGCAGCCCCCCAGGGGTGGCGAGGTCTAATCTGAGTCTGCGGTGTGTACCCATTGTGCTGGGCCCCTCAGCAGCCCTCGAAAGTGGCGACAGTTTCACAGATCGCAGCCCTCCAGGAATGGCAAGGTCTACTTTGAGTCTGCGGTGTGTACCCACTGTGCTGGGCCCCTCAGCAGCCCTCGAAAGTGGCGACAGTTTCACAGATCGCAGCATTGTGCCTCGCAACCCCCCAGGGATGGCGAGGTCTAATTTGAGTCTGCGGTGTGTACCCACTGTGCTGGGCCCCTCAGCAGCCCTCGAAAGTGGCGACAGTTTCACAGATCGTAGCCCCCCAGGGATGGCGAGGTCTAATTTGAGTCTGCGGTGTGTACCCACTGTGCTGGGCCCCTCAGCAGCCCTCGAAACTGGCGACAGTTTAACAGATCGCAGCCCCCCAGGGATGGCGAGGTCTAATTTGAGTCTGCGGTGTGTACCCACGGTTTCAGCCCCCCAGGGATGGCAAGGTCTACTTTGAGTCTGCGGTGTGTACCCACTGTGCTGGGCCCCTCAGCAGCCCTCGAAAGTGGCGACAGTTTCACAAATCGCAGCCCCCCAGGGATGGCGAGGTCTAATTTGAGTCTGCGGTGTGTACCCACTGTGCTGGGCCCCTCAGCAACCCTCGAAAGTGGCGACAGTTTCACAGATCGCAGCCCTCCAGGGATGGCGAGGTCTAATTTGAGTCTGCGGTGTGTACCCATTGTGCTGGGCCCCTCAGCAACCCTCGAAAATGGCGACAGTTTCACAGATCGCAGCCCCCCAGGGATGGCGAGGTCTAATTTGAGTCTGCGGTGTGTACCCACTGTGCTGGGCCCCTCAGCAGCCCTCGAAAATGGCGACAGTTTCACAGATCGCAGCCCCCCAGGGATGGCGAGGTTTAGTTTGAGTCTGCGGTGTGTACCCACTGTGCTGGGCCCCTCAGCCGCTTTCGAAAGTGGCGACAGTTTCACAGATCGCAGCCCCCAGGGATGGCGAGGTCAAAGGCAGGGGGGCAGGGGGGAAGAGAGGGACGGGAAGGAAGGAAGGTGGGAAGGAAGGTTCGCGCGAGCAGTGCTCTATTCAAAACGAGAACCCAACGCAGGAGGGTTGGGAAAAACACAGACACAATTAATCGTCGATCCCCAAGAAAATATGGGAAAATATGGGAAGTGGGGGGGAAGACAAAAACCCGGAAAGTATGGGAACATATGTTTTTTTTGTTACCTAACAGCGAAGACTGATCGGTTTCTAATGGGGTCAAAAGAAAGCATCTGATGATTCCCCAGAAAAGGTCTGGGCGGGAGCCGGACAGGCGAGGGCCGGGTTCGTGCTCCTCGACTTCCCAGAACTCAATTCCCGGGCCACATTTGGAATGCCCGGAGCCAACTGTAGGCCACTTCGTGCTCATCGACCTCCCAGAACTCCATTCCCGGGCCACATTTTGGATGCCGGGAGCCAATTGTAGGCCACTTCGTGCTCTTCGATTTCCCAGAACTCCATTCCCGGGCCACATTTTGGATGCCGGGAGCCAACTGTAGGCCACTTCGTGCTCTTCGACTTCCCAGAACTATATTCCCGGGCCACATTTTGGATGCCCGGGGCCAACTGCAGGCCACTTCGTGTTCTTCCATTTCCCAGAACTTCACTCCCAGGCCACATTTTGAATGCCCGGAGCCAACTGTACGCCATTTCGTTCTCTTCCAATTCCCAGACTTTCAAGACTCATTATCTTCATCATCATCATCGTCCCCGTAGCCTTCTTGGCTACAGCCCTGCTTTCGAAGATTTCCTTTCAAAGGAACTGCGCAGCGCCTACTGCACACCTTAATGCCAGGACATGCTGATAGTTCTCGGTCTGGCGGCGGTGCTCCTGACCCTGCTGCATTGAACAGCGGTGCTCCTCAGCCTTCGGCAGGGAACAGCGCTGCTCCTCAGCGTGCTGCATTGAGCGGTCGTCAGCTAACGCTCGTCGAGCACGTGAAGCAGTTCGGCCGGATACCGAAGCGAAATAAAGGAACGTCCGAACAAAAACGGGCCGAAAACAAGTTGGCCAAACGTTTCTCGGACCATCGCGACCGCATCCCCAAACACATTTTGCATGAACTGTGTGTTTCTACTGCTACTACCACTGCTCCCATCACTCCTACTCGTTCACTCCACACACTACAACTACTACTTCACTGTTACCACTACTACCATCACTACTACTTTTATTGCTACTACTACTGTTACTATTACTGCTGCTGCTGCTGTTGCTGCTGCTAGTGTAGCTATTGCTACTGCAACTACTGGCAGTGCCACTGCGACTGCCGCTGATGTTGCCACTGCGACTGCCACTGCGAATCCGAATGCCGCTGCGAGAACGCCAGAATTCTACAACAGCACTCTTACATGAATACCACAGGCAATGTTTCCAGCTATGCTTCTACACATCGCTGTTAGGTTGCTTTGCCGGGATAGTGTGTATTTATTGGTGTGCCCCAGGGCCTTTTTAATCGGCTCGAGCGCCGCCAGTGGCCCAGAATCGGCCAACATATGGAAGGAGGCGGCGATCGGAGAGCCGCCGGTCGTGCACTGGTGAACGCTCCCCGCGGTGCCAGAGGCCAGCGCGCAGGTCGGCACGACACGGAGCCGCCGTGTGCCCCTGCCCTCCGCGTGCACACGCTGAGCGCGGTGGCTCGGCACGCGCGCGTGGAGCTCCGCGTGCCAGCAGCGCGCAACCCTCCGCGTGCTCGTGCCACGGGGCAGCCGAGTCCCCCGCCGTGTGCCCCTGCTGCGGGCAAGATTCGTGTCCATATCCAGTGCGTCTTGGACTTGTTCGGAAGGGGCGCCACAAGGCCGAGGCGCACTGGATACGGGTAAAAGTCGAGCCTCTACGGGGGAACGTTTGCCCCTATCCGGTGCGCAACTCGTGCTTCCGGGGAGAAGGGCCCGCCCCGAACTCTCCCTACGGCAGTGGACGTATGGACAGAAGCCCTGCCCGCCCCTGCCCTTCCGTTGTTCCCCGGCCCAGCGCCCCCCGCGCCCCCCGCG